TTGCAGAAGATTAGTTTCAGAGTGTTTTCTCTTTTCTTTGTGTCTTGAGTAACAAATTAAAATTTGGGATTCCAGCTGCTTCGAGATTGGACATTGTTGGACTTGTGGTGTCAAAGCTGCACAAGTAGCAGCAAATGAAAGGAAAGCTGCATAAAATGGCGGCAAATGAAAATGAAAGGCCGCACAAATGGCAGCAAATGAAAAGAAGGGAGAGCTGCACCAAGAGCAGCAGCAAAGTGCAGCAAGCGAAATTGCAAATGTTGATGAAATGAGGTCAAAATGAAATGCAAATGCAAATGAAAGGCTGCAGAGCAGCAGCAAAGCACAGCACATGGGGCCGCACAAATGACAGCAAATCTCTTAACGTAATCTTGCATTAAATGTTTGGTAGATTTTCTTGTATTAGGTAAAGATTTGTTGAGAAAATTAATGTTGATGTATTAAGAGAGAGTTCTGCTATATAATGGCAGAAGATGAATGAAAAAAATGGGTTCGACCTCACCAAATGAGGTAACTCCAAGGTGTCTCTCTCCTTCTCCTCCAAGTCCTCTCAAAACCCCATTCTTACCTCCGAAAAATCTAATAGACATTTAGATTTTTTCATTTGTGGTTTTTAGACCTGAGGGCCAAATAAAAAAAATTTAGACCCATGATTTTGCATATAACTTAAGCTTGTTTACTTCTCTTAGTAATTTCATTTTTTCTCATAATCCTTCTGGGCATAAATAGTTGTTATTACTGTTGCAGGAGGGAGTAAGCAAGTTCTCAAGTACAGCTGGTGGTAACATTCCATGGAAGGAAATTCTGGACCTTGATTCTTCAGTGTTTCTTAACTGCCGAACTTCAGTGGACTGAAGGATAAATGGAGAAACATGTGTAAGGGAAGCTTGAAGCCCAAATGAAATATTCTCATACTGGTTAGTTTGCTGATCCAGTTCCATTTTCTTGTTTTGGTCAGGAAACTTTCATGAAGAAAAGAGAGGAAAACAGAGAGGAGAGCAGAACAATGTTTTTCATTAATAATTCTGCCTTTTACATGGAAATAAAGGAAATTGCTACAAACAGAAGGAAACTACTCTGAACAGAAAAAAGTTAACCACCCATTACATTAGAAACAAACTATTAACTGCAACTAATTAAAACTAACGTGAGTGCCACTGTCAAGAATGAAGGTCTGTGGCCTTAGTATCATGGCTAACTTCAACACTCTTCCTTGGAGAAAAGGCAACAGACACCAATGACAGACATGTTTTGTGGGCTGTCAACTAGTTCCCAGGTACCATTCTTGACAATCATGTTGATCCCCTCCTGGATAGCTTTTCTCCTTGCCACTGAATTTTCAGCATCCTGGTAATCACACAGCTTCAAAACAGCTAAATTACACCTGCTATAAACATCATCAGGAGTTCTAGTAACTCTCACAGGAGGGTCATCAACTGAATCATTATTAACATGTTCTACATTGTCATGACAGGTTCAGGAAAACAAAGAAATCCAAATCATCACTGCCATCAATGACTTCCTGCTTCTCCCAGTCCCATATGGCTTTCTCATCAAATTTCACACTCCTACTAACTTCAATTTTCTGAGTTTTAACATTGAAAAATCTACATGCCTTAGAATGTGAACTGTAGCCAATAAAAATGCAAATATCAGCTGTGGTCAAGCTTGTCCCTCTTTGCTGCAGGAACTAAAGTATAAAAAACACTCCCGAAAATTTTGAGATGGCTAACAAAAGACTTGAAATCAAACCAGGCCTCCTAGGGAGTTTTGTTCCGAACTGCCCTAGTAGGCAGTCTGTTGAGAAGATAAATTGAGGTATTCATTGCTTCAGCCCAAAACTTCTTAGGCAAACCCTTTTCAAACAACAAACACCTTGTCATGTTCATCACTAATCTATTCTTCCTCTCACTGACACCATTTTGCTGTGGTGTAAATGGCACGGTGAGTTGGTGATGAATTCCATATTTTTGCAAAAAATTCTCAAACTGATATGAGGTATATTCAGCGCCATTGTCTGACCTTAAGGCTTTAATGGTTTTACCAAGGTGAAGATCCAGACTTCACAACATGGCAACATTCAATTTTGGAAGCAACAAACAACTGCTTCTCCTGTTGCTCATCATTTTCTGCCAACTGAGCCTGTGCTGGCTTGTTTTTGCAGATTTTGTCAACATGGCCAAACTGTTTGCAAAGTTTACATTGCACACCAGGCCTGGTCCACCAATAAGTCTCTGTATGGGCCTTCTTGTTGCAATTAGAACAGAAATAACTGTCCCTTTTGCCTTTGTACTTGTTGCCTTGAAGCTCCTTTTTCTCCTTACCCTTTCTTTCAAAGAACTGCTTCTTTTCGCCATCCATCACTTATCTATTGGCTTCTTTGACTACCAAAGCACCTTCAACAGGTTTGCTTTCAAGCCTTAAGGAAACAGCTTGCAGAGCATTGCAAAGTTTAGATAATGAGATTTGAGTAAGATCTCTAGAATCCTCTAGGGAGGATATTTTGGGTTTGAATTTCTCAGGCAAACTAACAAGCACTTTCTGAACAACACTTCTGTCACTAAGCTCTTCACCATTCAACCTTATTTGGTTGACAATCTTCAGGACTCTGTCAGCATACTCCTTCACAGTCTCAGTCTTAGACATTTTTTGCATCTCGTATTCTCTTCTCCAGCTGAGAATCTGCATTTGGATTGCCTTCTGGTCTCCCTGGAACTCTTGCTTAATCCTGTCCCAAGCTTGCTTTGCTGTTTCACAAGTCATAATCCTGCTAAAGATTTCATCCATGACAGAGGAATGAATACAAGTAAGGGATTCATACCTCTTGGCAGACTCCTCCGAGTGTCTCCTCATCTGATTTAAAGTGGCATTTACAGGCAAAGGGGGAAGAACACATTCTGTCTCAATATCTTCCCAAAGATCGAAAGCTTTGAGATAAGCCTTCATTTTGACTGCCCAAACAACATAATTTTTACCAGAAAAAACTGGAGACTTTGTTGTGAAACTGTTGCTGGATTCCATGGAAAGACCCTCAAGTGTTTAGTGGTGTTTTTGGGGTTCTCTCGGATCACTCCCTCACAGTCCCTCAAGATTAGAAAAACTCTGATACCATGTAAACTTTCATGGAGAAAAGAGAGCAAAACAGGGAAGGAGAGTAGAACACACACAGTTTTTCATTAATAATTCTGCCTTTTACATGGAAATAAAGGAAATTGCTAAAAATAAGAAATAAAAACTGCTAAAAATAGAAGGAAACTACTATGAACAAAAAAAAGTTAACTGCCCATTACATTAAAAACAGACTACTAACTGCAACTAATTAAAACTAACATGAGTGCCACTGTCAAGAATGAAGGTTTATGGCCTTGGTGTCATGGCTAACTTCAACATGGTCTGCAATTTCATGTGAAGAACCATCTAAAAACATTGAGAATAGTTTTTGAGGTAAAAAGGGGTAAAGAGAGGACTTGGAAGAGAGTAGGAGAAGAGTAGAACTTAGAACATGAATTTACATAGCCATGGAAGGGTGTGTAAATAACTCTTAGTGCAACCAAAGACGCACTAGCTTAAGACTAGTAACCTGGGTGAAGAAAAGCAAACCAAAGAAAAGAATAAAACTCTAAAATGGATAGAGTGAACAAGACTTGTGCGACTGAATTTCTTTTATTACTGGGATACTTGCAAATGAAAAAGTACATAAGTATATTTAAGACTTGAAATGAACAAGATTCATCTCCTAAAACACGATTCTCACTAAACTAGGACATAACAGAGACAAAACATGAACTAGAGACGTTAGATACATGAATACTAAAAATGTGTGGATATGCTTCTTGAAAGATAAGGAGCAATTCATGAACAATGACCCTTCTCAAAAATTACTTTATTAATTTTAGCACTCCCCTTAAAGTGATTTTCTAGAAATAATTTTAAGCTGAGAACAAAGCAGCTCAAAAGATCTTTTAGATAGTGATATGGTAAATATGTCAGCAACATTATCTTGATTTCTCACCTCCAATGCACTAATGGTTCCTTCCAAAACCTTTTCTCTAATAAAATGATGTTCCACCTCAATGTGTTTTGTCCTTACATGACAAACTGGATTGGTGGCAAGCCTAATAGCACTTTGGTTATCTTCGTTAGAGTTGTGGTGTCAAAACTGCAGCAGTGGGAGCAAATTGAAAGACGTGAGAGCTGCAACATGACTGCAGAGTAGCAGCAAACTGACAACAGCATGAAGCTGCACATGGGCTGCAAAATGGCAGCAAATCTTTTGAATGTAATCTTGTTTTAAATGTTTGATAGATTTTCTTGTATTAGATAAAATATTAGGTGAGAAGAAATTATTTTTTATTATGTTGTTTTTGCTATAAATATAGCAAAATATCAATGATATTTCTGAGTTGAAGCAATATA